GGACAGTATGAGATGAAGGTTAAACTGATAGATGGACTGTGACTTGGAGCTGGAGGATTCAGACATACAATGATCATTTCCTCTCTTTAATATATCATCTTCATGACCTTCTAACACTGCATCAGAATCACCACATCAACTTGTTTCAGACTCTTGCATGTTGTTGCAGGTCGGTTGCCCTTGTCAGCCTTCATACACACACTTCCTGTTCAAGGCTGGATGTTAACGGCCCTTCTACACTTCATCTGCAGCGTGTAAGGCATGAAGGCTGAATGGCGGGGTTACAGAGGGGTTACAGGGGCCGAGGCAGTGGTGGTGTGTAAGGTCAGAGCGGGCAGGCTGGTGTGTGTGTGTGAAGCTGTGTGTGTGCTTTGGTAAGGCTGTAACTCAATGTGAACACACACACTGCAGCATCAACATCATACTGCTGTGAAAGCAGAGTGAAAGTTCAAAAGGCAGAACGACAGAAGAAGTGCGCTGAACGTATGCTCCTCACATACCGTCGATGGTGAAATGTACTCGACACAGAATTGACAGTCGCCATGTTTTCAAAGTGATTCCTCTTCTTCCACTACAATAACACATTTCACATTTCATCTTCAGAGTCTTGACTTCCTCCTCAGTCTTCATGACGTTTCCCTGCTGATGATTTCTGATGCTTGAATGTTTCCATCTTCTAATACAGTAAGATATATTATATAGTAGCAGAATGTGCAGTCTGTTTTATAAACTATCCAGACTGTCCACTGGGAGAACACATGAAGAACATCACATCTTGTATGCTACACTTCCCTCTCTTCTCCTCTCTTTCTGATATCTGTCATTGTCTCCAAGCTGCAGCCAAGGATGATCTCCTCCTCTCCTCTCTCCCCTCTGTCTCCCTCTCCTCTCTCCTTTGTCTGTGTTAGAGGGATTACAGTGAAAAACCAGTGTTCAAGTCCCGGTGCGGTCTGGCAGCTGGAGTGGTGCCCTTAAGCAAGGCACCAAACTGCTCTGGTGCGCTCCCTGCAGAGCAGCCCCACTCTGACATCTCTCCACTGATGTCCACAAAATAAAATAATCAAATCTGATTGGCCATTCCAAAACCCTTAACGATGATTGGCTACTTACCTTGTCAGAGGAGGGGCTTATCTTAAAATTAACTGTAGTGACCAATTTGAACAAAACCAATTTGTCTACGAGCGTCACTTGAAGGATTATGTTGAATAGATTTTTGCCGCCTGCTCAGCTCAAAGGGAAAAACCAAGTCCATTGTTGTTCCAATTTAGATATCTCAATCTGTTTATTTACACAATTTTCAATAATGTCAACACAGGATGTAGAACAACATCCTACTGTGTCCACAAACAACAAACTAATTGGATAGGTCTAATAGGACGGGGTTAAACGCCCACAGGTTGACACGACTGGAAAACTGTTTGCTTTCATTGAATCAGCTGTCTGCTGCTCTCACCTGGAGCTTTACGCACAGCACACACACAAACAACAAAACATACACACACACAGACACACAACAAAACATACACACACACGGGAAAATAAAATGGCAGAAAATAACCCACATTTTGGCACCAACATCAACTGCAGGCTGCTAGTGTCTTACTTTGCATTTCAGTGTCCTACATTTTCATAGAGTGCAGTTCCACCTCTCAGAGCCCCAGTCCACCATGCTCTGAAAGGTCTGGCATCACCCCGGCCCAAAGTGTATTAATTATGGGACGCCCAAAAATATATCACTCTCAACCTGTTCTTTATTCACATGCACTCACCGTGTTCCAGACTGAATCTCCTGCAAACTATTTCTGATTCTTTTTCAATCCTATCCATGTTCTGAATGTTACGTCTTCTGAGCTGTGTGCAGCTTTGTGCCGCCTGGAGACAGGAGACTCAGGAGAGTGCAGCGCTTCACCCCGCCCCCCCAACACTAGCTGAATTCCTCCGGTTCCCTCTGGCCCTTTTCCCTCTCACAGGCCAGTCCCTTCCACTCATTTCAAACACTCAGAGCTTCCTTTTGTCCTCCATGTTGCTCTCACACATCCCCCTCTCTGTCACTCTGTCAGAGTGTGTGTGTGTGTGTGTGTGTGTGTGTGTGTGTGTGTGTGTGTGTGTGTGTGTGTGTGTGTGTGTGTGTGTGTGTGTGTGTGTGTGTGTGTGTGTGTGTGTGTGTGTCCTGCGTTCACTCAGGTACAGGTGCATAATGTGCGCTGCCTGTCCGGTCCAGGCTGCACGGCGTCGCTCTGCTCAGTCTAAAGGGGCTGATAAGGCCAGATGGCTCTCTGCTTTGTTGGCCTCTGAAGCGAGTAATGCAGTGGAGCAGAGCCTCCGGGCTAAACACTGTCTGCATCTCGTGTGGGAGGTGTGTGAGTGTGTGTGTGCCTGTTTGTGTGTGTGTGGACATACTGTGCTTGTTAGAACCAGTCCTGGTTCAGACCTCAGGTCCAGGTCGTTTTGAGTCTCTCAGGCTTCTTTTGGCAAAGATTGTTCCAAATGATAATTTCTCACAGAACACAGCGACATATTTAAGGGTTATTTTTGTGTGTGTGTGTGTGTGTATGTGTGTGTGTGTGTGTGTGTGTGTGTTGAGTCGGAGCAGTGTTTATATTTTTACATGTTGGAGTGTAAAGAGCAGAGAGTTCAGTGTTAGTCTCTGTTAGTTTCTGCATTTCAAGGCTTTGTTAAAAAATGTTCACACACACACACACACACACACACACACACACACACACACACACACACACACACACACACACACACACACACACACACACACACACACACACACAGGGATAAATGCTCCCTTATCTGTGCTGCAGAGCGAACAGCGTCTTTCTGCACTGATGTTTGAGTGTTTTAATGAGACCTTATGACATCATTTGGGGAAAATCTGCCCCTTTATGGGGAAACAGACTTGTTACAAAAAAAAGAAAAGAAAAAAAAAAAAAAAACTAATTCCGAACACTTGCGCTGATATCCACGAGCAGTTGGAGCAATAACCGTGGTAACGGCAGCACAGTGAGCCGGGGGTTAAATCAGTGTGACTGTCAGCGGCTCGACGCTTCATCCACGTGTGTGAGGAGATGATCTGAAGGAGGCTCGACAAGGCTGCACGTGTGTTTTGTTTCTTGGAGTTTCACTTCAAAGAGGAAATTTGTTTTACATCAAATCTGACTTCACAGTTTGAAAAAGTTTCCCCTTCCCTCTGAGCTCATCGTCTGATCCCGTGCAGACAGCTTCTCTCCACATTCAGACACTAAACAAAAGCAAACTGCACGGAGCAGGGCGAATTTATGGGCGTGTTTGTGCCTGAATATCTTCAGAGCTTTACGCTGAAATAAACCTTGAGACGGAGCAGATAGAGGGAGAACATGATGAGAAGCGGCTCTGATCCATTCTGAGTGAATCAGCTCCAAAGAGTTTAAACGTCAACACAGTTCAAACATACAAACAGAACTTCATATCCATGTCAACATTTAGCTTTCATGTGTTATTAAAGGTGCACTATGAAGTTTTTGGTATAGATTTGTGAAAGTTGGAGAAGTGTACAGATACTGTGCTATATGTTCATAAACTGTCCTCAGAGGAACATGTGGTCCATGTAACACTGTTTGAAGATAAAATAATACAAGAGAAGTTATGGTGGAGGGCCCGAAACAGTGAAACTGTAACTTTCCTGGTAGATTTTTAGCTCCAAACAGTGTTCCAGGGACACATTTTTAACTTTGAATAAAGTTTGTGTTTTTAGTTCAGAAAATATAGCATTGAAAAGTTTCACTTCTCCAACTTTCAAATTTCACTCCCAAATCTACATGCACCTTTAATGTACAGCATACATCATGTGATTATGAGTGTCCGTCTGTCCAGCAGAAGATCCGCTTCACTTACAATTTAAATAAACTAACAACTCCAACTAATAGTTCAAAGCATTCACACCTATTATGACTCAGCACATTGGAGTGATCGGGGCTGAGATGAGCAGTTCACAACAGGTTTCACATATTGTGGTGGATGCATTCTTTATTATTCTCATCTCAGTCCGACATACTGCAGCTGACGACTGAAGGAAGTGATGAACCCCCCCCCCCCCCCCCCTCTGACAGGAGTCTCTCTGTGTGGAGTCTGCATGTTCTCCTTGTGCATGTGTGGGTTCTCTCCTGGTACTCCGTCTTCCTCCCACAGTCCAAAGACATGCTCGTTAGGTTAACTGCTGACTCTAAATTGTCTGTAGGTGTGAATGTGAGTGTGGCTTGTTGTCTGTCTCTATATGTCAGCTCTGTGATTGACTGTAGACCAGTCCAGGGTGTAACTCCGTCTCTCGCCTAATGACAGCTGGGATCGGTTCCAGCCCCCCAGTGAATAGATAATAGATGGATGGACAGTAAAAAATACATAATTTCTTCTTTAAAGGTCCCATATTCTGCTTTTTCTGGTTTTATATGCTCTTTACTATGTTTTCCAAGTGTCCTGTGCATGTTTAGGCACATCTATGTGCAAAAATTCAAAGTCTGTGGAAACGTGGCTTCTCCTACGTCCTCCTGTTAGCTGTAGCATTAGCTGCATGTAACGCTTGGTTCTAGCCCCCCTCGATAAAAATGTGTCAGTGTGACGTCATTGTCAATGTGAGATCACTGATCTAAGCCCATTGGCTCGTTGTGGCAAGCCCAGCAGCTCATGTTGAAATTTCCGAGAAGCGTGCTGAGCAACTGACCAATAATGACAGAGCGGATCAGCAGACCAATCAGAGCAGACTTGGCCCATGTGGGGTCTAACAGTGGGGGCTCAGCAGAGTGTAGCTGACGGACTCAGAGCATAGAGGGAGCAAGGAGGAGCAGTACATGAAAACAGACACTTTTTTCAAACTTTAGCTTTTGTGAATGTACAAAAGTAGGTACATAGATTAAATATACGAACCCCAAAAAGGGCATAATATGGGCTCTTTAAGCAAACACTGTTTTTCCTCAATAAACTGATGTACTGATATATCTGTCTCTCCTCCCCCGCAGGTATCATCCGCACTGCGGTGTCTAACATGGACCGAGAGACCAGAGACCTGTACCCCGTGGTGATCCAGGCCAAAGACATGGCGGGCTCAGTGGGGGGACTGTCTGGATCGACTACTGTCAACATCACCCTCACCGACGTCAACGACAACCCTCCCAAGTTTGTCCAGAGTGAGTGATCCCCCTCTCTCTCTCTCTCTCTCTCTCTCTCTCTATCTCTCTCTCTCTATGTTTGTGACAGCAGCAGGTGAACAGGTGTTGATGAGTCAGCTCTCTTTGAGTCTGCTGGTTTCTGGTTCAGAGCTTCAGAGCATCAGAGAGATTTATCATGACGTCAACAGTGACGTCTCTCCCTGTTACTCCACATCAACAGACATCCACTGAATGAGACCAAATATTTAAACCAGCTGCTTCTCATCCAGGTTTTCAGAAAAACAAAGCACAAAAAAAGATCAAACACTCACAACTGTGACTGTGGGGGAAAAAAAAAATGTATTTACACAATGCTCTGATACGATGATGATGATGGCCTCCTGGCACTGGCTTGTTCTTCTTCTTCTTCTTCTTGTTCTTCTTGTTCTTCTTCTTGTAATGTGGAGGCTGCTGTACCTGTTACTGAGTTCCTCATTCATCTCTTGTTGATGAAGGCCTTCCTGACAGCCAAGTGATTAATCTAAGTATACTGTCCTTTCAACAAGTTGTTTTTCTTCAGAGCTAGACAGTTAGCTTGTTAGCTAACAAATGTAAGTCCTCCAAAAAGTGACAAGGCGTACCTTTTCTCGTTATTTATTGACAGGGCTCTCAAGTTTTGAAATGAGTTCAGAGTGAGATTTTGGCTGCAGTGACAGTTTGGGTAAAAAATAAAAACTATTTATTGACAACATTTCTTAGTGCAGGGGTGGGTCTGCCCTCCCTGGTGGGAGATTGTGTGTGTGTGTGTGTGTGTGTGTGTGTGTGCGCGCGTGTGTGTGTGATTATGGTCAGTGTTGTTTATTGTAGGTGTTAGTTGCAGGTTTTGAGGCCTTCAGCACGGGGGTTGGTGACTCCCATTTGAAACACTGTGGTTCCAGGCCCGCTATTTTGACTGTCATGATTGACATAAGTGTTCCATTCAGTGCCAAGCTGTTTCTTGTTTTGGTCTTGTTGAGGCCGACCATGGAGAAAACCCTCTCTGCGTCCGCATTTGAGTGTGGGAGCACTAAAACTAATGCTGCTATCTTAAATAGCCTCCCAAACTGGCTCAAACCGGTCACCTTTGAAAAAAAGGAACTAACTATTACTCAAATGTTTTGCTTTTATTATGTCAATTAATTATGTGTCAGGTGGTGCCAAATGTTTCTTACCTTGCTCTTGGTTGAGGACATACTCCCCCAAAACTCCTCAACATTAAAGGTGGTGGGATCTTGGGGCATGGGGATCTCCATGAGTTGATACTCCAGGAACTCCTCACTCACCTTGTCCTGTTCCTGTGGCCCATGGAAAGGAAGTAGTTCCTGAAATCTAAAAGAGAGCACCATGTGAAATACCGTGGGAGGAAAAACAGGATTTGTTTTGTGACCATGATCATCATTAAACTAAACATTCTATTCAATATGTTGAAACTCTGGAAAATGTGGAAACTTTTGCCTGTCTACAAAGTATAGGACATCTTCCACCCCACACTCAGCCCTCTGCTGCACATCCACAAATTTAGCATGCTTCAGAAGGGCCTCCTTCAGGGGGAGTTTGTTGATGCTGTACTCCACAGCCCAATAGCTGCACCTCCTGAGGTGTGATGTCTCCAGCCTCAAGGAGCCTGTTGAGGGTAGCTCTGGTGGTGAAGCCAACATTCAGCTTTTCTCCTATCAGAGAGAGAAAAGAAAGAGATAAAGCACATTAAGTACAGGTAGTTTAAACAATATCTATGGGTTTTTAGACTACATATACATTTTATGCCTTTTCCATCAAATCAGAGATCTCACTCAAGTCATAACAACAATCTTCACAAAAAAGTGTATTTGTGGACAATGAGCATACAGGTTTATCGCCTTATGAGACTTGAAAGCATTACCTGGCAGTTGGTTTAGTGGGTCATTGTAGAGGATGGACTTGACGGCCCTGTAGTGCTATAGGTTTCATGAACCTCGCACACAGTTTCAAGATGAACTTCGTCATCTGCAAATATGTAGTTCATAAAAGATTTCCATGTATTACTCGAAAAAGGACATATCAGCCAATTAAAAAATAGGCAGACATACTGAGCAGCAGGATAGCCCAACCATTCCATTTTACCTCTCCATGGAGCAGGAAGATGGAGGACTTTTCTCTCTGGAGGAGAAGGTTCAGTGTGGAGAACATTGGCAGCGTTGCTTGGAAGAAAAGGAGATAGACTTCTGTCAGGGGGTTGGAAAATGCATCCACCAGCCTTCTAAACCTTGCTTATTTCTCATCTGTAAATAAAAAAAGGTTGTGCTTAAAAGTAAATATTTAGTTTCATGTAATGCACTTGTACCGTATTTTCCGCACTATAAGGCGCACTTAAAAGCCTTTAATTTTCTCAAAAAACGACAGTGCGCCTTATAATCCGGAGCGCCTTATATATGGATCAATTGGTTAATTGGTTGATCCATACTGGTTGTACACGGCGCTCAGCGACACTGACTCGGATAATGACGAGAGGGAGCCGGGCATGTTGGATGCCGTACTCGCCCAACTGTTCAATTCGGACACTGAAGAAGAAGAATTCGAGGGATTCGTGGACGGGGAATGAACTGAAAAAGTGAGCTTTACGTGTTATACGTAACTGAACAATGTTGAGTTATGCACTAACGCAGGGGTGCCCAACCTTTTTTGAACCAAGATCTATTTTTAAAGTTACCAGTCTGCCGAGATCTACCAGTCCACATAGTGAGCCATAGCCTTTACCAACAGCCTACAAACGCATTTAATACTCACACAACAAACAGAAAACAATAAATGAGAGTTCTGTAAAAAATAATGCAGACTACAGACTACAGCAGGCTGCTGTGAGATGATTTTGCTTTTGTTAAATTAGCTGCAGACACGTTGAGAGTGAACGGAGTAAAGTCCAACCGACCGTTTGACCGGATCACGTGTGTTCCCACCTCGGTCCGTACGGATCACGGATCAACTGTGTGCTGTAGCACTAAAAGTAAAAGTGTGCGTGTGCGTTTGCGCTGTTTGTTGGTGTGTCTCATCCCCCGCGATGCTCACAGTCATGACAGCAGAGAGGAGCAGAGAAAAGTAGCTGCAGCTTCATCAAATGCGCTTAATACTCGTAGCATAGTTTCTATATATGACTTTTTGGTAAAACATTTACCCCCCCCGGTTTTACCTGCACGTCATTGCGCATGCCTGCACTCTCTCTTGCGCGCGCTCTCTCTCTCTCTCTCTATCTCCGCCGCTCGCTCTCTCATGCACGCAGCAATTTCATGAATAAATGAAAAATTAAATACACACAGGTCGGAAGTATACTTGGGCTCCCAACACAGGTATCGTGTGTGGGAAACAGTGCAATAAGATGAAATTGAAATCTCTTTTCTATTTTACAATTGTATTTTATATTGACAAAACATCTCGCGATCGACTGAGAATCAGTCAGCGATCTACCTGTCGATCACGATCGACTGTTCGGGCACCCCTGCACTAACGTTTGAATTAGCGGTATCAGACTGTGTTTCTTTTACGTGTTTACAACTGAACAAGGCTGGGAGATATTGTGAATATGCACATTAACGTTTGAACAACGTTCAGTTATTGTGAATGCACTACGTATAAAACTACGTTTTGAGAGTTAAGAGAAACGTCAAAGAAATAATTTATTATTTGGGGAAATCGTCTTATGTACTTTTGTTTTTGTAGTTTTATACGTTACGTTTTATACGTATTTATATTTATATATTCACAATATCTCCCAGCCTTGTTCAGTTGTAAACACGTTCTATTCTATGCGCCTTATAATCCGGTGCGCCCTATATATGAAAACAGTTCTAAAATAGGCCATTCATTGAAGGTGCGCCTTATAATCCGGTGCGCCCTATATATGAAAACAGTTCTAAAATAGGCCATTCATTGAAGGTGCGCCTTATAATCCGGTGCGCCTTATAGTGCGGAAAATACGGTACTACTGTCAATTAAATAAGCAACCTACTTAAAGACTTAAAATAGCTGGTAAGTGGTCCATACTGCCGCAGAATTTGAGTAATACACCTTAACCATCGCACTGAAATGTGTAGCAGCATTTCCATGTACTCGCTCCCATGGAAGTCACAAAATTCTGTAAAATATATATAACATCAATAGCAAACAAATAAAAAATGTCTGAATTTTGTTGTATAACACTAGAGCTGGTTGAATCACAAACCTGCCAGGTAACCTTTACGGTTGGTGCTGCCCTTAAACCAGTACCCAACATCCACAGTCAGATCCTCTGGATCAAATCCGGATATCTGCAAAACATGAAATCAAAGATTTATTACAACACTATACAGCAATCTTTTTTACTTGGCATTGGGCTTAACAGATTGGTAATATAAAATGTACATGTTTGAACTTACTTCCAAAAACCTCTGCCCTGCGTGTTTGGCAGTGTTGTGAATAACATGGCAGGGGCATCCATGTATGTAAATACTGTCATTTTCCCTCAGCATTCTGGCTGCAATTGAATTTTTGGCCCCTGTATTTACAGGTGCATTGTCGATTGAGAGACCTACACAATTTCTCCAAGGGATGTTACTTTCTTGCAAGGTGTCATTAATTTTTTGATAAATCACTTCAGCTGTGCCACAGCTCCGCCCACTGGTGGTGCACATATCCAGGAATCTGTGCACAACTTTGGTGGTGTCAAATATCCTCACAGTGAGGGGATTCATCTTCTCTAGACCTGCAACAATAAGGTGCATAACTAAACCTACATGTTGGGAAATTTTATGAGTGTACGTGTAGAAATGGAAACAAACACACAATTTACTGATAGTTGTTAAACTCATACCTGTATCATTTGAGCCATCTGTGACAAGTGTGAAGGGATTCTCTCTCATCTTCATCACCAATTCCTTCCTAAAATGTGGTGCCACTGCTTCATTAATGATGCACGTTGTCTTGGTGCTGGCACTCTTGAAGTTCTGAGCCGTGGGGGAGTCTTTAAAACATTCCTTGTACAAAGGACTGAAATGGTCTGCAACTGCAAATGGTACATTGTGCTGCACTATTGCAACTGCAACCTTCACCCCAGCTCTCCTGGTCTGCAACAGAAACAATTGATTAAATAACTGGTAATATAGTATATGGTAATATAATCAACAATTTGAAGGAAAATGCAATACATCAAACATTGCCACCAGTCTTTTGTTTTTCCTGTGCTATACCTTGGCCTCTTGTACACTCATGCCTCCAACAGAAGGTGCTGGAGTATAGAACTGTGCAACACTGCTGGCTGAGTTTAGAGCCTGTTCTTTGGTTCGATGTCCCTTGCCTTCTACATGCCTGCTTATGTCCCTCACGCCTTGATGGGCACAGGAGTTCTCTTGCCTGCAGATAGAGCACCAGTAGTAGGAGCTGGTAGTTCCCATTGTGATGAATGGCCATTGGGTTGACCATTCTTTCTTAAAGGAACACCTATAGGTGGCCGCTCCACATACTCCTCTCTTTTTCCCTTTTTCCAGTGGCTTCTCCACTGTCTCCTCTATGGTGTCCTCCACCATCTCTTCCACTGACTCTTCCCCTACTGACACCCTAGCTGTCTCTTCCACTGCCTCATCCATCATTTTTTCCACTGCCTCCTCCACAGTCTCCTCTACTGCCTCATTTACTGCCTCCATTATTGCCTTCTCCACAGTCTCCTCCTCTGACCTGGCAACCTTTTTAGGGAGCTGACCCTTCAGAGCGAAGCATGAAAGAATGCTCATTTGCCTCTTCCCTGACGTCTTTGTAACAGACAAATGGAATTATTAATACTATGCATGGCCAGGATATAAAATATAATGAAATATTATGATTAAAAGTGGCCTACTGCATCTGCACAAAAATGGTCCAGCCTATTTCAAAATATGACTAGTCCAGGGCCCGTATTCACAAAGAATCTTTAGGCACATGAGTGACTTACAAAAACATCCAAATGGCAAGGGAATAATTGTGCTTCTGTTTCAATAGCCCATGTCAGCAACAACAATTAGATAGCATACTCAACATAGCCTATTCAATGATTAAATGAAATTACTTTTATGCAAAGTGTCAGCATACGAATGCATGTAGAAGTAGCCTACTGCAAAGATGGACATACTGAATCAATCCGAGGGTCTAGTGCACGGGTAGGCAACATGTGACCCTTTAAGTCTATTCTAGTGGCTCCCTGGCTTTGTTGAAAAATGGAAATCAATAAAACATTTTTATAAATAATTTTATTCAGTCATCAAGCTTCAAGCTATACTTGAAGCATAGCATATGGGCTATATGTGTCTGTATAGCCTAGTCTGTATTTTCATGATGACAATTGAAAATACAGTACAGCCAACAGGAGCATATGCCGAGAATGACATACAATGGCAGATTAATAAAGACAGAAATGTGTCAACTATTTGTGTTTAAATGTTTCCAATACCGTTGCGGCCCCAAACTTGATTTTTTTATTTACTATTTCTGGTCAAAAAAATTGCATTTTAGACCCCTGGTCTAGTGTATTCTGTCTATTTCATTGAAGCAACGCGCCTAACAGGTTATGTATTTAATCAGTCGTGCTTCACACCACTGATGTGCACCGACATCGACCTGTCACTCATCAGCCCATCACGGAGCGAAGTGAATGAGAGCAAGCTCGTGCACGAGCCCATCTTAAGTTGGTATTTATTATCCTTGCTAGAAGTTGGTCTCAGCGGCTTTGTGAATTACTTTTAAGAAAAAAAGAAAAAAAGAGAAAAGCTTTGTGAATACGGGTCCTGATCTAGGACTGAAAAACAGAATAGCCGCTGAAATTAGCAAGGATTCAACTGGCTGGCTAGTTCATACACTCTGGTCAAACTCTTAGCTAATATTACTGATTACCAGCTGACTGGTCACAATATTCCCCAACATACAGAAATCAAATGATGAGATGACTTACTGTAATAATACGATATGGTCCTCTTCTCCATAGATAATGGTCCTCTCCCACGTCTATCAGTCTGTACTTCAGCGAGCGTCTGAATCAGTGTCAATTGTCGTCTTCTCTAGCTACTTCAACGAGCGTGTGAATCAATGTGTCATTGGCGTCTTCTTTGTAATCAGAATGTAGCGTTGTTGTAGCAGGAATATCGGCGGCTGTGGCTAAAGGGCAGACACACAGGGTGGCTGTGGCTCAATTTGTAGAGTCGTCACCTCTCAACCGGAAGGTCGAGGGTTCGATCCCCAGCTGACCAAATGTCCGATGTGTCCTTGGGCAAGACACTTATCCCGAAATTACTCCGGCTACTTCGTGGTGGTGTATGAATGGGATTAGTTACTTCTGATGGATGATATTACATAGTGACCATTACGATCAGTGTGTGAATGGGTGGTTGTGACATGTGGCGTAAAAGCGCTTGGAGTAGTTGGAAGACTAGAAAAGCGCTATATAAGCTCTAGTCCGTTTACCAAGTCCATATCTAAATCTTACCCAGATACAGCAATGCTATTTATTGATTGGCTGTTGGGATAGCTATATTTCTTTTTTTGACTAGCTGGTGCATGGCAAGCTCATACTGAACTCTATGGGAAACCCACTTGATTCCTATCTGTTCCATAGTTAAAAAATATAGCGGCGCAACTTGGTGGGTGTTATCCTGGTAATTTATCGGCGTGAGAAATACAAGGTGTGGCGTGTCAGCGTGTGAATAGGTTGAAATGCGTGTGTCGTGAGAATTGAGAGCATTGTATTGAAGAATTCACAGTATTTCCGTTCTTATTTACTTTCTTTCTTTCTTGTAAAACTGTAATAAAGCACAAATTACAAAAAGTACACATTAAAGACTAACAAACAGAAAATAGGGCACAAGAAACAATTAGCTAACCTAACATGCTTAGTCATGCTGCTAGCTTACTGCTCTGCTAACTATCAACTTATTAAAATCCAGTTGTCTAAGAAACAACTTTACGGTGCACTTTTAAACGCTCTACATGAGGGGTCATCTTGTTACAGAGTCACATCAGCTGGATTTGAGTTTTGTCCCCCTGTTCAGGATTGGAGGGAACATCACGATGCAGCAGGATGAACAGGTTTGATTGAAACATGTCTGTGTTTGTGTTTTTTAGAGAGCTACCAACTGTACGTACCTGAGCTGGCTGAGGTGGGGAAGGCCGTGGGTCGGATCAGAGCCAACGACGAGGATGAAGGTCAGAACGCTGAGATGACCTACAGGATCACCAACACAGAGGCAGCGGCCATCTTCTCCATAGCCACTGACGCTGAGCGCGGGGAGGGGGTCATCTCCCTCAAACAGGTGGGAATCAGAAACACACACAGGTGAGGTTTCACTGTCAGCTTCAGTTTGTTTTTATCCTACAGGTTGAGCAGATTTCTTCCTCTTTCTTTCAAACACATTGAAGTGAAACGTTGAGGAAATAGTCCAGACATCCCGTCCTCCTGACTCAAATGGTCAAAGTGTTTCTTTCTGCATCTTTTGAGACATGACGACATGGACGCTGAAGATCAGCAGGAGGGAGTTTTGTGTGTTTTCTAAAAGTGCTTTTGGTTTTCCTTTTTGTTCTTTTCTCAAACAGTAACCCTTAAAAACTTAAAAACAGAGAGACCCCCCCCCCTCCTCTCCTCAGAGTATAATACACTCCTGAACAAGCTGCCGCTTAAAAAGACTAATTAGATATTTATTATGCATGTATAAGGCTGAAAGTTCAAGCAGGCTGCGATGTCAGTCACGTCTGTGTTGTGCCTGGTGGAGGTTTACGCGGGAGGCTTTGTACAGTCAGACAGAAAGAGTGAAAGGGGTCGTACGGAGGTCCCACGGTGGCTGCCAGACTCGAGACGTGAGCTGATGTGGCGTTGGCGCCGTCAGAGAGAAACTGAATTCTATAAGAAAGATCTTTTCATTTGGTGTACATGCTCTGCTCCATCAGAGAAATGTGATTCATTCTCGGCGTGCAAACAGGCGGAGCGGGCGCTAACTGACTCAGAGGTGACTGAAGCAACATGTGGATGAGCGTTCAAGAGGCAAAAATCCAGGGTCGGTCTTCATCCCAGATATGACCCCGACGAGTTGTTGGGATTTTTATGAATTGAAGAAACACTTGACTTAATGCTCACCTAGCAGGAGTAAAGATGGGACTTTGATTTGTTTGGTCGTCACTATCGTCCTCAGTCTCTGGCCTCAGTTCAGATCTTTATTGTCCCTGGAAGGGAAATTTGATTCGCAGCAGTGGACACAAAAACACAACAGATAAACAGACATAGGAAAGTGGAACACAACCTGTTGAGATACAACCAAGAAATATAACACTTACTGTTCGTTAAGAAGTTTCACTCAAATGGTTTAAATAAATAAATATAATAAATATAAAGTGCAATAGCTTGAAAGTGCAGTCAAGGATTTAAAGAAGATTAGAAGCATTAATTGCATGAGGAACATATGAAAATATATATCAGTTTGCCTTAGCCCTGGGCAGCCTGAACCTCCGACCTGAGAGGAGAAGCGAGGATGGTCAGAGCCGGACAAGATAGACTTTGCTTTCCTAACAACTTGTCTGTTCCAGATATCTGACAATGAAAGTTGCTGAGCAACAATTCATCCAAACGTAGCTCTGTGTTTTAGGTCTCTGAAAAGTCTCCTTTAGTAAAACTGCTTCCAGGGTGAAGATGTTCAGAAATGTTGAGGTGTTTCTGTGTAGACGGGGAAAAACAGAGTTTGGGGCTTGTAACGTCACACAGAATAGGGAAATGTTGGCCTGTCAACGTGTTTTCTGTCTTTTCTGCAGCCTCTCAACTATGAAAAGAGAAAAGTTCACACACTCAACATCGAAGCGTCCAACACGTTCCTGGACCCCCACTTCTCCCACCTGGGGCCGTTTAAGGACTCCACGTCGCTGCGGGTCATTGTGGGCGACGTGGATGAGCCTCCTGTCTTCTCCATGGATTACTACATCATGGACGTGTACGAGAACTCACCTGCTGGGACGCAGGTCGGCACTGTGACCGCCATGGACCCTGACAGCACCAACAGTAGAGTCAGGTAACAAACAGACATTGCTCCGTCTGCAAACCCCGTAGGCATGATCAAATACAGGATCAGAGTGGATTTAGAACAAGAAACTTCACACACATGTTTTGAGGAGCTCTGAGACTTATTTAAACTGGTTGATGAGGAGGAGAAGATGTGACCTTTAAGATTTTTAAACTGGATTATCAGTTTAATGTAAACACCGAATGTATCGCTGGGCTTGGCAGCTAAAAGAAAAGACCCTCAATTGTTTAAAATATGGGATGTATTTACTTTTAGATGTTATAAAAATATGAGCAGATGTGAGGCTGCTGAGTGCTGACAGCAGGCTTCAGAGTGTTCAGAGTGTTCAGGCAGGTTATTACACAGAGCTGCTTCATGTTTCAATAAGTCAACTCATCTGCTCTGTGTCTGCACACTGTGAGTGTTTGCTAACCAGCAGAGCAGAACAAAGTCAAATCTGCTCTCTGTTAGAGTCTTTATCTTCTCTTCTCATAATGTCCAACAACAAACACAAACTAAGAGCGCCAACCAGACGTCCATCTTACAGAGACCAGCACACAGCTCCCTGGAAGATAGCCTGAGCCGTCTCTCCAGCTGGAGTCCAGAGATACTCTGAGTCACTAAAGTCCTGTAAACGGCAGGAGAAACCAAAACCAATCAGATCATTTTCTAAACGTTGCTCGGTTTAGTTTGAAAGAGCTCCAGCTGCCCGTCACTAAATATTGTCCATGCAGAAAATGAACCCACTTTTCCCCCGACAGAACCCCGAACAAACCTCCAACCCTCGGCCTCTTTACTCTCATCCGGGGGAACAGGCTGTTTCTGTGGACAGTGCACGGTGTTCGCTCAGTGACTCTCACTTCTGTCAGCTTCACGCTTTGGTGGAGAATGGATGAGTTTGGGGACATCAGAGGCTTTGTGATGGAGCAGAACTAAAAAAAAAAAAAACTGAAAAGCCCGTTTGATTCTGGCCTCGCTCTGGAAAAGGATCAGTGGGAAGGGGCCGCAGTACATATGAGGCTTTCTGTCCTCAGCCGGCAGCTGGCAACACAATCCCTGACAGCTCTGAGTGAAGCTGCAGCACTGCTGCGTTCTGATTGGATGACTGAACTCTGTGACTGGCTGTTAAACCTGCAGGACCTTTGATACAATGAGCCCTGTGAAAAACAGCAGCGGGACACACTCTGTTCACACAGATAGTGTACATAGCTGTATGATACAATGTTTGTATGTGTCTATGTGCTGGGCTTTGTGAAGACATTTGTTGTGGATCCTCAGTTACATTGATTTGAACTGCTTCACTGTTTTACTCTGCCTTTATGTACTCAGGGTAAATAGGTTGACCAGGAGTCGTTTGTTGTTTGATTGGCCGCTTTGAAATATTCACTGAGAACAGCTGTGGCTCAGTGGTAGAGTCTTAACCGGAAGGTTAGGGGTTCAATCCCAGTCCCATGTCCGATGTGTCCTTGGGCACTAAATTGTTCCCGCTGCTTCGTCGGTGGCGTATGAACAAACAGCTACTACGCAGTCGGATCAGTCACGCCCCTAATTATGTACAACTTGTCTCCTTTGTTATCTCATAGCGGGTGAGGTATGGATCAATTCTCCCCCCCCAAAAAGCGAGTGCTGATAAAGACATGAACTTGAACATCATTGTTTCTACCAGGCTGTAAACATGTTTATTTCTGCTGTCAAAGCAGACGTTTAACTTTTGGGTCTGCATGTCTTCATAGTTTGATAAAAAGCATTTTAAAGTTGGTCTCAGTGTCAGTGCTCTCTTTTTAGAGATCATGTCATTCTTTGTCGCAGGTTCTTCATAGAGAACGAGGAGGAGACACTTTTTTATTTCACCATCGGAGTGAACAGCGGCGTCATCAGGACCACGCAGGTTCTGGACCGGGAGGTGGCCGCGTGGCACAACATCACCGTGGTGGCTGCAGAGGTTGGTAAGTTCTCAGCGGCAGCAGACCAGTTTCATTTAACACCGTATGGGTCCCCATTACCAGAACTGGGCTCTAGTACCTAACGGTCTCGGTTCTTTGCTTCTTTCACCTCTCAGAAAAATATGTCACTCTGACCCCTAGTGTTTAAAACGGGTACTGCAGTCTAAATTCTAAACGTTGTAGAGAGCTGTCCCCCACCCCCCCCTCCTCTCTAGAGTCGATGCTCACTCAGGTTGCCATGTGGTGGACACTGAAGCTTCAGTGTTTATCCAGCTCTGCATGGGTCTGTAAACCTTTCTGTGTTCTAACCTCTCTCCATTTTTCAAAAGCATCTCCAATATTGATCCTAGTTTGAGCACGTTTCTGCTCGTGGAGCTTATTAGAAACATGCAGAGGCTTTTTAGGTCGGGTACAATCACTTCTATCTGAACCACTTCTCTTGACCGCTTCCATCGCTGTCTGTTGATGTAGTAAGTCCTAGGTCACCAAAACTGGGTAATTATCATGATTTGACTTCCAACTTCTCACAGAAAAGGTCACAGAACAGTTAATAGTGATAGTAAACCCAAATAAGGTTTCATCATTGTGTGTGAATGTGGATAATTTAATACATGATCTTTTTTAAATGTTTTTATCGGTGCGATAGTGTGACAATGTGTGGAAGTAACATACATGACAAACAAAGACGGAGACGGAAAAGATCAGAGAAAAGAAAAATCACTTTTCAGACTTGGATCTTCTCGTTAATCAGCTCTCATACTTTGGATAAGCTCAAGTGATGATCGGCTCCTCAACATCTGTCTGAGAAAGACACAGTAATGTATGTGTGTGTATCAGTGTGAGGAGAAAGGTTAAAGGTCAGTTGGAGGTTCATATCTGTGTGATGATGTCACAGAGTGTGAGCCCGTCCTCTCAGGACGGGCTCACACTCTGTGACTGTTCTAAAGACTCACTGTTCTCTGTCGACCTGTAGGCCAACACCTCCCAGGTCTTTCTTACTTTATCTGCTTCATCAGACGGTCATGAAGAAGAAAATTAAATGCTAATAGGTGATCTTTTTTTATATCAATCTCCAACCCCTTCAGAACAATCTTTAAACTGATGCACATGATGTGACACCTGTTGCACAAATAGAGACTTCCTGTGTCCCTCCTACACAGGAAGTCTGTGTCCTTCCTGTGTCCCTCCTGTGCAGGAGGTCTGTGTCCTTCCTGTGTCCCTCCTGCACAGGAAATCTGTGTCCTACTTGTGTCCCTCCTGTACAGGAGGTCTGTGTCTAGGTCTGTGTCCCCCCGTGTAGGAGGTCTCTGTCCTTCATGTGTCCCTCCTGTGCAGGAGGTCTGTGTCTCTATCGAACAGGAGGTCTGTGTCCCTCCTGTGCAGGAGGTCTGTGTCCCTCTGTGTCCCTGCTGCACGGTAGGTGTGTTTTTGTTGTGCCCTCAGCCTCAGAGTGCCTGGCGGTTATCAATGCCAACCAATGTCCATCACTCTCACTTTAGTGCAGTAAACGGTAAGACAAAGGGTAATAAGATAAGCATGGTGAGAAATGAGAGGGGAGGGTCCAGAAGAAAGACCTGATGGACCGATCCTCAGATGACCCCACACAGACTAAATATCACCCACAGACAGGTCCCCCCCATGACTCAGAGATCTGACAGAATCAAACATCATGCTAAATGTTGTTTACCTAAAGATTTAATTAAAGAAACAATATGAAGGATTTCTGTTTGGTGTGCTTTGGCGCCCACCAAGACCACGTCATAGAAGACGACATAGACAACGTGCATTTGTTGACAATCTGATGAGAAGTCAGCAGAGACGCTGTGAGAAGCTAAACAACCATGTCGAGTAATATTACTTACATCTGACTCTGCTAGCGTCTACAGCCCGTTGTTATCAAGCTGTTAGCTTGTGGAGTATGTGTATCCATCTGTTACCATGACGACTGTAGGCTGTGGCTATATGTCTCCTTTGGAGAGGCTCCTTTATCACAAACTAGTAGAGATAGTTTCAATCAGTTTACCTTCATGGTCTGCCTGATAGAAAGATCTCATATTCTGAGTTGATGACTTTGTGCTGTGTTCTCAGTTCAGTAACTTTGTTTTTCTGTAGGAGAAAAACAACATTTATGTTTTTAGTTTGTGGAACTAAAATGTTTCTTTTTGTCAACTTCAGATAACCCTCGCATGGTGAGTCATGTCACGGTCACCATCCAGGTCCTGGATGTCAACGACAATGTTCCAGCCATCTCCGGGGGCAATGATGTCATCATAGTGTGTGAGAGCACCAAAAGTGGACAGGTGAGTCTGTGAGAACGAGACACTCTGACGGTGTTTGGACAGGATGATGATGTCATGGTCTTCATGTGCCAGCAACAAAGAAACTCCTCAAATGTTTAGAAGTGTTGATGGAAGCAAAACGAGGGTCCACACGTGACGTGATGAGGGTCCACACTTGACGTGATGAGGGTCATGAGTTAGTTACCCTATTACCTACCACATGACAAACATCTGATTTGTGTTTGAGGGGAGAAGAGAACTGAAGCTTCCTGTTCATATTAAAGTAGCAGAGTTTGTGAATGAAAACTTGATGAGCTGGAAACAGAAAGAACTCACCTGAAGACTCACCCCATGTCCACACAGCGTTCTTTCCAGGCAAAAGAGCGCTGGCTGTGCGTGCTGCACGTCCGTGTTGTCCATGACAACAGTCTGTTTTTATTTTCCGATCAGAGAGGATGTGGGTCCTTAGGCTACAAATCTACGGGGAATGTCGTACATTTAGAAAAGAGCGCCGGTGACGTCAACAGCGCCTTTCTGAAAAGTTAAAAGATCTTCAACTTCAGCAATAACTTTCATCTATTTTACTTAAGGAAAATAACTGAAAAACAGCGCTGGCACTCAGAAGACACGCTAGGTAGACACAGGGCCTAAAGCAATTAGTCTACCACTAAATAAATCTTTTTTACATCAGTGATGTATGCGATTAATTGATCAGAAAGCCAGACATTTAATGGATTGTTTTATTTAATTACAATTTAGACTTTATATGAGTTCATGATCGGGTGGAGATGTTTTTTTGTGTTTACTGTTCAACTCCCAGCACACAAAACCAGTAATATATGCACCACTGAAAGCATGCACAAAAATATATCCTCTCTCTCACACACACACACACACACACACACACACACACACACACACACACACACACACACACACACACACACACGCTGTCATGCACGTTCATGTTGATCTGTAGCCTTTGTGTTGTGTCTGACACCATCAGCGGGGGATTTATCAGCTGAGCTGCAGACTCTGCAGCTTCTTGAACCTATAAATTATTCAGACTGCAGAGCGTGCCGATTGTGGTGCTGCCGGGCCAGAAAGCAGCCTCGCTCTCCTCCACCACCACACTGACAGCTCTGAACCAGGGAGGATAAAAACACTTATTATTCGAGGAAAGCAGGAATAGAGCCTGGATCTGCATGATGGAAACAGCTCCCCTCTTATATGGACAAAAATAAAACACACTCCCTCTGTGTCATTATGTTTATTATATGTAGTGCCCTCTCTTATCCGTCCACCGCTCTCTGCTTTTTATGCTAATGAAAGTGTGTGTGTGTGTTTTATATGTATTCATTTATCTTGGCTTTAGGCATCAGACAACACGTGCCCGCACAGTCAGTGTCAAGGGAGGATCTTTTTTTTCATATTGCTGGCATTGCAATAAATTGAAGCTGGGAAATTGTCATGCATGGCATGTCTCTCTGGCATGACAACCTTTCTCTACTGTGCTGGGGGACTCAGTTCTGTACTGCATTTGCATAATTGATTGCAAAACGATGAGACTGCTGTTTAGGTTGGGGGGCACACTGTACAGTTAGGAAACATCTCTTGTTTGCTGTGTTGAACACATGGAGACGAGTGCTGGATACAAGCTCGAGGGCCTCGTGCAATTTGCACGCTTGAATTGTGTTGTTTTTTGTTTTAATGCATGTTTGTTGTTGAGAAAGATCTGGAGAGGCCTGTGGAGGATTGTGATAGCATTGAGTGTGTGGACTGGTAGGATCTAAATTTGAGGCAGGTAACAGTTAGAGAAATATATCTAATGAAGGCGATTCCATCATTTCTTAAAAAAGGCTCTGATTTCAAATATAACAAAGTTAAATATTAAATGTGTATATTAAGTATCAATCAAGCTGATCTCTGTATTTTAGTCGTCAGCTGAGAAAAGGGCTGTAAAGGCTGCAAACAAATCCCTGCTGCAAATCAAGCAGCATCCTCTGCTGAAGCAGATGCTGAAGTGTAAAATCCTGCAGTTCCTCGAGTGTCCACTAGAGGCTGGCTGCAGAAGCACAAGAAGTCACATACACACCCATTCTAAAAAGCCTGTTTTTACAGCAGAGATTAACATGTTTACAGCCTGGTTCAAAAAAACAAATAGGTCTGATTAGCTCATGTCTTGATCGACACACACTGTACGGGGGGTGAATGTTTTGATGACTCATCAGTTTTGATTTGATGAAGGATAAGAGTTATTCACAATAAGGCGTGTAGCTGACCTGATTGACAGGTGGGCGTGGTGTATCGGTTTGTCAGGAGGTTTAAAACCCGCCTCAGCCTGTCGTTAGGTTGACTGAAAGTTAGGCTGAGACAGCATTTCCAGCATGGAGACCGCCATTGACACGTCACAGTAAGACTTCAAAAGATGAATTCTCTCTAATGACGGGCGCTAATGTGCAGCACAGAGTTAGGATTATTTCCGCCAGTGTATTTATATAAATCTGTTGCGCCCAGTGTCAGGTTGTCTCAGAGGAGAGCGTTACAACACACTTGCTAAATATGCTAAGAGTGTGTTTGAAAACTTTTTCTATAACAGATGGAATAAGGACATGTAATCGGGACAAACTAAAAAAAAACAAAAAAAAATAGATTTGAGATGTTTCTGAGCTGATCTGAGTTGTCTTGTGCAAGCGTTGTTGTGTGCTGCTCAAGATTTAAGTTGCTGTTTAACATGGTTCACTAGGAAACCAGCAGATGGCAGTATTTTCTTAGTCATGTGTTGAGGTCCTATTAAAATCAAAACTTGTTCGAATTTAATTGCAGAAAGTTACTTGACATCCAGCTCTTGATCTCAGACAGGCAGTTTTCACAGCACTCCCATTAAATCTAACGATTTAATGGGCAACTGTGAATCATCAGCATAAAAATGGAAGAACACACGTGTTTATTTATGATATGCCCTAATAGGAGCATCTATAGGGAAAATAAAATGGGCCCCACGACAGACCCCTGCGGGACACCATATTTCACACCAGAGAAGGCAGAGTTATTAACAGACACACAGCACCTTCTATTGGACAGATACGATTTAAACCAGTCTAAGTCTGTCCCAGAAACCCTGACCCAGTGCCTCAGTCTGTTCAACAGGATGTTGTGATCAATAGTGTCGAAGGCGGTGCTGAGGTCCAGGAGTACTAGGACTGAGCACATACCTTGATCAGCAGCAATTAAAAGTTCATTTGTTACCTTAAGTAAGGCAGTCTCAGTGCTGTGAAACTTCTTGAAATCTGATTGAAGTTTTTCAAAAATGCTTTTATTTTCCAGCAGTGAGAAATTGCTTTGACACAATCTTTTCTAAAATCTTGGAAATAAAAGGCAACTTGGAAATTGGATAAAGGGATAAAAGGAGGGTTCGGATGCCTTACACCTCCCCGACACTGTTCTTATTGGATAGTCCACGCAGCAGACATCAGATAGGCATGGATGTTGTGACACAAACAGCAACATCTGCTGGATGAGCGCGACAAGTGCTTGAATCCCTGAAAGACCATTTCAGTCCGGATGAGATAATAAGCAGAAGTGGATACATTTATATTGAAAAAATGGGTACTTGGTTTTGGGTTATTGGGTTTTTTATCAGCAGTGGATGTACACAGGCAGTTTTAAAATAATCAGCCAATCAAAACCAAGAGGGGCGGGTCTTCTGATATCATCATTGTCATCAACAATAGCGGGCCATGTGTAGAACTGCAGATTGATTTAAAGAACACATGCAGCCATTAACACCAACTCCTGAGGGAAGCATACGTTTACTTTCGTAACCTAGCAACAAAAAATGCCGGTGAGAAGCGCTCTGAAACTGAGGTCACAGGCGCTGCCAGCATTAGAAGAGCCGTGAATGGACGCAGGCTGTAAAGCTTTGTAAATAAAAAAACAGGACGCTTTGGTTACTCTTTTCGAAATAAAGAAACACCAGAGACTTGATCACAGTCACTAATAATGTGTCCTGCAGCTTGAAGCAACATTTCTAAATATTACAAGTAATCTGAATGATTCTGAGCTTCAGGAATCTGAGTATTTTGGGAGACCAGGTACAAAATTCTCTTTAGATTAAAATGATTTTAACATTTAAGGGTTGTAGTATTTGTGTTCATGTGATGTGTGGACATTAAGTCACTGACAATGACCTTGGTTTTGGTGGATTTAGTAGAGTGTAAGGAATCCCCCCTTCTCTCTGTACACTTCCCTCTGTGTCGCCTGTTTTTGTTTTTAATTCAACATCTCCTCTCTGTGTCTCCATCAGGTTATTCAGACCCTCCGGGCAGCAGATCTCGACAACTTTGCTAATGGGAAGTTTTCCTTCTATGTGCCTGCTGAATATCCAGCCAATCCAAACTTCACACTGAAGGACAACGGAGGTAAAACAACTTATTTATCGGGAGCGTACAAATTACGCTGAACAGCTCTGGGCCACTAACAGAGGCAGAAACACTTTTTTCTTTTGTCATTGGGACACAAAAATATGATCAAACATCAGTTCGATCAGTGATCAATTTTTAGAACACATCCAAGCTTTTCATAATAAGGTGTGTACCCAATCTGACTGCGAGCGGACGCATTATAGCTGTCTGGAGGCTTAAGGTCCGCCTCCTAGATTGACGATACATATGTTGAGATAGCATCCCACTATGGTGTCCACCATTGTTGGGCTTCAAAACACCATTTCAGGAACCAATGGGTGACGTCACTGAGACTACATCCATGTGTATACAGTCTTTGACCAGAACTCTATTTTACACAACAGCCGGTGAGCTTGAGGAGGATGGGGCTTGATGGTACCAGCAGCTAAACGAATGGACACACGGGGGGATAGGAGATTCTTCTGCCCTTGAGGTGTGTACTTAGAATCATTTTTTAAAATGTCTTTGAGCCCCTGGTACCCTAAAATAGAAGCAGCGTTTGAATGGGGGAGGTCGCCTGTGTCCGGCTCTCAGCGCCCCTCTTCGGCCTTCCCTCTCGCCTCTTTCCCCTCATCATCCCTGGAGGTTTGGACTACTCTATCCACTATCCCGTGTTAATAAAAGCAAACTTAAAAAAAATGAATCTAAAAAAGAAAACCCTAACCTTCAGTGTGGGCCGGGCTTTAGTTGGTGGTGACTGCTCTGCAGAACTGGACCTGGTGTTACACAGTGATGAAACACCTCAGTGTGGAATAAGGTCAAGAAATAGTCTTAAGATATAGTCTGTTAATAATTTTAATTAGTTGTTCCAGAAAAAGTATAAACCTCTGCACAAAGAAAATCATTGAATCCAGATGTGTGGACCCGGTGTGGAGCAGGACGAGGGTGAGACGAGCTCCTCTTACTGGTTCACTGCAGGCAGAAGGACACGTTCTTGGCAGATATAGTGTAGCTCTGTCTGAGAGATATTGATTGATTGTTTGACTGATTGAAGACTAAAATGTGTTTAACATCAAGGCAGCTCCATTCAAACACCAAACAAACATTCAGAGGCCTTACATGGGCTTTGATCTGGGATTCAGATCCACATTTTAGGATTGACTGGTGAATAAGGTGTGCTTCAATCTGACCTTATTAAAACGTGGGACCCTGTATCTCCGGTTTGATGGTAACAGTTTATACTCTGTGTTCAGAGCGTGGTCAGGATCAGAAGCGATGCTGTTAGCCAGCTTTAACATGTTTTTATCGTAGCTGAAACATAAAGTCTCAGTAGTGGATAGACACATATAACATGAGGCATTACAGTCCTGTAGGACACTGAGAATCACAGACATATGGACCATGTGGTGTTAAAACAGGACTTTGTCCACTCGCCTCTCTCACTCATCTTCTTGCAGATATTTTCAATGTGAGTTCTTGCACCATCAGAAGTTTGTTACAACAAATTGCACTGGGCTGCAGAACTTCATGGGTTTGTTTGTACAATCATTAGCACTTCATCCTCTGTGAATAGGACCTTGAGAGCAGGAAAGTGATCTTTAATTTATGGTGCTATCAGTACCTTTGTGGTCTGTGTGAGCTCTATGCTCAGGAAGAGGCTGATTCTCTGTTTCATCGTTTGTGCTCAGTTAGCGGCCGTGATTGAAGTTAATGGGGCTTTAAAACACAGCGTGCAGGTCTCTTAATGCATGCATGACCTCTGCACCTTGGCCAATATGCTTTGTGCTCACAGGGGGAACTCAAAAGAAACACCTTATTAACGGGCTGTATTGTATATCAGATATTATCTCCAGTGATTTCAGAGATTGGAGCGTAATGAATCCTGGCTCAGCCTCTCTGCTCCTCCCTCCTGCTGGCATCGTTACCACTCCTGTCTCTTTGCTGCTGCTGGAGCAGGTACCAGCACCACTCCACCACCACAGCCACCCCACCCAGATCTGCTTTAATGTCCATGAAGTAAAAAAAAAATGGGTGCTGTTGCTATGGTAACCCAGCAGCTTCCGCTCCTCATTTAGCTTCAGATGCTTGAGTAAAGTGGAGGGGGCGCAGGTCGTCCTTCAGTTCTCAGGTACGTGTCAGGTTGTGTGATGTTCTCGGGGCTCGGAGGTCTTCTGTCGTTTCATCTCCTCCTCCGCCCCTGTGCTCCTCGATAAATCTGTCTCACCTTCTCTCCGTCGACTTCTATTTTCTTTCTCCCTCATCTGATGTCTCCTCCATCTCTCCTGGTGTCGACGCGCTGCTTTCTGCAGACAGACACAGGACTGAGGGGAGCTGACAGCAGTCTCATTAATGAGACACAGTGACAGGACTCGGACGTGGGGGGAGTCGGACGACGGTCTGGGAGCTTGTTGCTGCAGGCGGTTTGTGCTGTTGTTATTTACTTGTTCTTCTTCTCACAGAGACTTACTGTTGCATTGCAAGTATTTTTTTTTAGTTGTTAGAATCTTCCCAAAACGGATTTAAATCTCTTCATTTGTATTTTTCTGATTACTGAAGTGTAATGTAGTTACTGCTCGCCCCGCTCTTATTTTGGTATTCAACATTTTTTATTGAGTTTACACATTTTACAGGGGATAACAAATACCCTGATTCTAAAGTCTTATCATAATTCAAATCTCTACATAGTCAACAGTTTGTAAAGCACATTTAAAAGAGTGTAAGCTACAAACATCATAACAAGGAACACATTTTTTTTCAAGATTTCTAAAGATTTTTAAAGATTTATATTTGAGCTTTTTGCGCCTTTAATGGAGAGATAGGACAGTTGATAGAGTTGGAAATCAGGGTGAGAGAGAGAGAGAGGGGAATGACATGCGGGAAAGGACAGGAAAGGAACCCGGGCAGCCCGCTTGGAGGACTACAGCCTCCATACATGAGGCGCACGCACTAACCACTGCACCACCAGCGCCATGGAATACGTCTGACAAATAGATCTCACAGGGTAAAACCGAAGAACAAAGGTGTGCCATGAGCTGAGATTTGAATATACAAATACATTCAGTTGGCACATTGGGTGTCAGGAGCATTTGGTTTCACAAACGGTGCCTGCAACTGAAAAAGGGCGGTCAGTCCTGAGTTCACACTCTCAGGAGAGCTCAGAGGACCTGAGAGATCGTGCTGGGGAAGAGGGGATTAAAAGGTCTGATAAATACGGAGGGTTAATCCAGCAAATGACTGAAAAACAAGTACTAACTTTGAAAATGGATTCTAAAACCAACGGTTTCGCGGGCCAGTGAAGGGAGGAGAAGTACAAACTGAAGTGTGGTGCTTTGGATTAAGGAGCTGTTGACTCAAACAACACTTGCAGTGCGCTGAAGCATTTTTCCTCTGGAGTTGATACGAGTGGCCACTATCTCAAAGCCAACGAGCTAACAAGCTAACAAGCTCTGCTTAGGGAATGTCAGTGCCGCGTAGAGCCCCCTCCTTCCTTGTTCTTCATCCGTCTACGAGAGCGACAGAGAGGAAAATAGAAACGGGGCGTTGGGGTAAAAATGGCACGCTCACCAGCAGTAGGACGCTCCGAAAGGAAACAATAGAATCAACCTGAATCAACAAGGTGTGAGCATGTACTGATGGAGTTATCCAACAGACATGTTTCAAGTCACAGTCTGTTGTTAATTTTTTCTAAAACTAGCATGATTTTAAAAGTAGCATTCCCTCAGTGCTCTGTCTACACCCACCCCTCCCCTCCGCTCTGTGCTCCCTCTAAAGCCACGCCCCTCACTTACATGCACGAGCGCTGTTGGTCCAAAAGCCGACCTCAGCTCATGCTTTGTGAGGGCTAGTTCACGCTATGGAGTAGAGAGCGAGCAGGGAGACAGGGAGGCGTCTGATTGGTTCATCAGATTGGTACCTCGTGGCAGACATTGGTCAAAGTTTTTACAGGCTTACAACTGATACAGATGATGGATTTTCTTTGTTCCCTATACAGAGAACATGAGTTATTAATTTCTGTCAGGACCTAAAGACAGTTTCAACCAAAATCTTAAAAAGTGGAGAAAATGACCAACCATCCAACATTTCCACAGTCGGTGAAAGATGGAGGCATGGGAAATGTTGTCACTTACCCCCAATTCACACATACTCCGTCAGCGCCGCGCACTATGTTGTACTTAGCTGCCACTCTAGTCAATCATTGTGTTCACACAGGGTGCGCTGCGGTCCGTCTCCGGAGCGTGCCACCAACAGCACTACGTCTCTGCTCCGTTTCATATACTCTGCGAGTCTATTTTCGCCGGAGTACGCTGCAGGCACGTGTCAAGCTGGACAGAATATGACAGCCCGGACAGGAAGTCAGACAAGGAAACGCACAGAGCATCCGGTCAATTTCAAAATAAAACACAACATACAGACTCGCGATCGTATTTTTCATCACTTTATCAACATTACGTCAAAACAGGAACTGAATGAACAACAATGCATCCTCAGAAAAGACAAAGCAACATGTTGTTTGCATGTTTTTCTCTTTATTCCCGCAGGATCTTGTAGTTCTCCTGTGATTTGTCATGGGTGCGCTGTGCTGTGCTGACGTTCCAGAAACAGATCCAGTGTGATAGAGACGGAGCAAAACCGTGGCGCTGACAGACTGCGGCGCGGATGGAGTATGTGTGAATTGGGGGTTACTGTTTTCCAGGTGTCTATGCTAAGAGTAGGTTTCACTTGGAGGTCAGCTTCCGTCATGTAGCACACATTCAGTTTTTTCATCTCAAAGTTATAGCAGCTGATTGTATAAGTGACATCACAGTCACTAACAGGATGTATCCATCTCCTGTCAGGTTTGCTCTCTTCTTTCTTTGAACCATTTCAAACTCGACTGCAAATCAACTTTTGAGAATTGTTGCTCCATTCGTCGTTTAGCCTTTGAATGCTCAAATGAACAAATTATCATAATTATAAAACATAATTACGACTCTGACACATTGGAGTTAGGCCGCTATCACACCGAGACACGCCGCTACAGGCGCGGCCACTCATAAAATGCCTCAAAAGCTCCTCGGGCAAAACAGCGTGGTGCGTCTGGAGCTGGGCTGCATGCCCAACGGGGAGATTAAATGTTATTTGGTAACAGAAAAGTGGATTCAAGCAGACTCTGAGCTCTTGCTGTTGCTGTCCTGTTGGATGAGGAGGGGAAGGAACAAAATATAAGCAGAGATTTTGACTGATTTGATTGGTTGCCTGTGCCACCTGTAACATTGACGAGCGGTGCGACTCTGTGCCTTGCGCTGAAAAGTTGAGAATACTTTAACTTTAAAGCGGCTAAAACAGCTAGAAAAACGCAAAGCGCGGCACAAAAAAAGAGCATGCGCCAGGCATGACCATTTGAAAATAATGGTTTAGCTGGCGACGCCCTTCTAGCGACACGTCTCGGTGTGATCAGGGCCTTAGAACCGTATATGAGCAGGTTGATCAATGGTGGAGGTGTTGGACTGACTGACTGGATTCCAACCCGACGTTAACGCTGAACTGTGTTCTGCTTTATAATGTACTACACACAAAAACAAAACATCAACACCCCCCATGATCGTACTGTGAGAGGGCTGAAAATACATCTGTTACCCCATACTCAAATGTTTTCTAAAAATCCAGTTACACCTCAGAAGAGAGGGTTCAGGGTCTCAGGGCCGGGACGTTAAATCAGGTTAAATTAAGAAACACGGTCAGCTGGATGTAGACACAATAAAGAAAAGAAAGAAAGAAAGTGTTGAAATAATGAATGGAAGTATAAAACCTTCACAAGTGCTAGATCACATCCGTGTGTTTGAAAGGTTGCTTCAGAGATAATTACGCTGTGAGCAGATTTATTATCTGATTCTCCGACATGAATAAATAATAAAACCTTATGTGAGAGAGGTAAGAAGCATCCTGCCTGTTTAGCACATATCATTGTATCCCTGTTCTTTCTTAAAGTGCTTCTCTTTGTCTCCTTCACCTTCTCTATCCCCCATATCCCCCCCCCCCCATGTTTCCAGACAACACTGCCAGTATAGTATCTCGTCGGCGTGACGGCTTCAGCCAGGACAGGGACCAGGAGTTGTTCAGCCTGGTGCTGGTGGTGTCTGATGGTGGGGAGCCTCCGCTCAGCAGCACTGCTACCATCTCCCTCAGGGTGTGTGAGTGTCAGAGGAACACCAGGGGGCGTAACAACAACGTCTGCCAGGCCCAGGCCTTCCTGTCCTCGGCTGGCCTCAGCATGGGTGCTTTTGTGGCTATCCTGCTGTGTATTGTCATATTATTAGGTAGGTACCTACAGCCTGTATAGAGCGCCACAGGAATGAGTCCTAAAACCCAGAAGTAAGTTAGCATTTGAGCGCCATGGGGTCTATCCTCCCAAAGTCAGTGGGGATTATGAATGGGTTTGTGGTTAGACTCCTGAAAGCTTAACACAAGCTTAAGAGATGTTTGTGTTTTGTTAGACCACATAAACCACGTTAGGCAATACCCCCACTTGTGAATTTTGAAGTTTTTACGCGTCTTTAAAAAGGCGGTTGCTAACAAGTGGCTAAATGTGACTACAGTGGTTGTCGGGGACATTAAACGTCATCACGCTGGACACAGAGGCCTCGAACTCTCTCACTAGTCTGAGATGTTTCCTGCAGGTTTAATCTTTAGGTTCAGCATAACGCTAGTGACGTCACAATCATCCGACCGTGGTGTAGTTAGCTTTAGCATAACGTTAGCTTTTTACTTCTGTCGGCCGCATTAACGCTTCAAACATCATAAAAATGGTGTTCATCTGTGAAAATTATCCTGCTGAACAAAACGCCTACGCTTCAGAAACGTGTGTTTGCCACAGAGCTTATTTTCTGCAATGATCCAAAATCCAATGCAAAAATCCCATAGGAGAATTCTGGTTAGACCCCATGGCGATGCTACTTCCGGGTTGGCCGACAAAAATATGTCATATGGTTCGTTCTCTATTTGTCTCGTGTTCCCCTGACCTACAAACTGACACAAGGAGTGCTAAATGAAAAACAACAGTCGGATATCATGTCAGTTAGGTTAGTTAGTTTTCTCTCTCTTCATGGTCTTCCTTTCTTACTCCGTTTGTAAACCTATCTTCTCTTCCCCTGCAGCCATAGTGATGCTGTTCACCCAGCTACGGAACAAGAAAGCCAGCAAAGAGCCTTTGATTCTGTCTGAGGAGGACATCAGAGAGAACGTGGTGACCTATGATGATGAGGGAGGCGGGGAGGAGGACACAGAGGCCTTTGACATCGCTGCACTTAGAAATCCCAAAGCCTCGGAGCCTCGCCTGAAGCTCCACGCCTACCTCAGCTGTGGACCGAGCCCCTACGAGGAGGAGGAGGAGGATGACGAGGAGAGGTTTGTGGTGTGGAGGAGGAGGAGGAAGTCACAGGAGATGGACTATAGAAACTACAGCCCAGAGTCGGATCCGGGCTGGTTTGTCATTGACAGCATTCCTCGTGAGCTCAGCCAGTCAGCGCCCTCGGTTCTGCTAGAGGGTCATGACATCATCCAGCAGATCCTGCAGCAGAAAGTGGCCAAAGCAAACTTAGACACTCGGGGCCCACCATATGACTCACTCCAAACGTATGCTTATGAAGGCTGTGGGTCCTTGGCCGGGTCAGTCAGCTCTTTGGGCTTAACTGGGGAAGTGCCCGAACTGAACTATGTGGACTTGGAGGACTGGGAGCCAGATGAACAAACACTGGAACGAATTGTTGGAGAGCAGTTGGCCACAAGCCCAGCTAACTCTGACTCATAAAGGATTACCATCCCAAGGTTTTGTTTTGAACTTTTTTTTGTAACATTGTCCAGATCTGTCCAGAGACGGATCACTTTTTACTGTTGCCATGGGAGCAATGATGCAGAATTACTATCCCTGAAATGCTGGCAATTTGAAAGTGTGACATTATATAAAATCAGAGGATTAGAAAAGCCATGTGGATAATAGAAAACAGAAGCCTGGGAGATTTGGATGTGAGCTTTTTCTGAAATGAGTCAAAAGCAAAAAAAAGCAGGATGTAGGCTATGAAGAGCAGGGTTTAAAATTGACAGGTCAATTTGCATAAGGCGTCGTCTCTGCTTGTTACGTGTGTCAGCGGAAAACGTTCACCCCTTACTGCTGCTTATGACTCCAAACCCCCTGGGTCAGAGTCTAGGTTTGACGTTCAGGTCCCCATTCATCCATTCTTTGCAGGAACGTTGAGTTTTTTGTTGATCAGAAAGTTAAAAAGATGCCGGATACTGAGAGGAATCTTAGATGTTCTACAGGTTATACGCCCCTCCATGGAAAATGGATAAATGATTTTGATTATGGACCACATTCTGTAGGGCATGGCATTCTAAATCTCTTTGCATGCAAACCATGCAAACAGGTACGCTCCATCTTCCCGGGTCTTAGTAGGTCAAGACCGTTGGATCCACATTCCTACTCCACCTCCATGCTCGCTTCACCTCTGACCTCTATCTCTATCATCAGCTGTACATGTTCTCTTCCATTGAATCCAAAACAGTTTGGAAAGTGAAGGTAATCCTGTTGTTTTTTTAAATATGATGTCTCATTGTCACATAGCATCACATGAACCATCACTGCTATGCAGATGATATTGTGTTTTACATTTGGGTTCAACAAGATTACCTTAAAAGTGTTCAGACTATTGTTGTCATGAGAGAGAGCGGGGAATGGCATGAGAAAGGAGCCACAGGCCAGATTTGCACAGGCTGCAGGACAACAGCCCATGTAACACATTTTTTAAACGTAGATATGATTCAGTAGAAATCAAACAATATTGGGTCATTTCTTGTTTTGACAAAAGAAGTCCTGCACAATTCCTAAATTAGCAAAGTTTCAGAAAAGTTGCCGGTGTGTATACAGTATGTGCAATTTACACAAGAATAAGTCGAAGGACTCTTCAATTTTGAGAGCACGACACAAATATAAGCCAAGACGGAGACAAACATGTTGCCATGGATACAGCCCTCGCAGCACCTTTTGGTTCTGATGTTTTTTTAAAGCGTCTGCACTCTTTGATACGATCATTAAAACAAAAGGTGTCGTAACGTTTGAAACACACGGCATCTAAAAGTTTTTAATATTCTGACCTAGTTCAGACTAAATCAATCACTTCTCCCCACTCTGCCACAGGAGCGTCTGTCTGGTTTATTAACATCACACATTTCAGAAACAAGGCGATTCAAAGTGCTAAAGAATGACCTCTGACTTTATGTCCTTCCATTTGATAAGACCAAATGTCCTCACACTGTAGCTCTATTCATCACTTCATTTCAAGCAGCTCAGACTTCAGTACGACGTTGGAGCACATTGGTAAAGTTAACGGTCAGGCTTTGGTACGAGCTCCCTCTACTATTAACCCTCGGTACATCAGATACATCCTGAAACAGAACAATGACACATGCTGGTCAGAGTGAGATCTTGCTGTGTGGTCGACCTAACAAGCTTTCACTCCCAGTAAGTGTGAGAGTGATGAATCACTGACTCTAGGTGTTTCCTGTCCCTCTGATGTGAACATGAGAGAAAGGTCTTCATGCTTATGGGAGATCAAAGTCCCTGCAATGACTGGAACAATATTTCTGGAGTGTGTTGCAGATTTGTTTTTTATGTGTGCATTGTTTTCCATATAAGACTGGAGTGTTTATTTCAGACAGTTAGAAACACTTCACTTTAAGTAAAGTTACAACAACCAGGGCTTGACGTCTACTTTTTACTCACCAGCTACTGAGGCTACTGGATTTACAAAGTTACCCATTTAGTAAATTACGTTTTGTAATGTAAGTCCTTGTGCCAAAAGACACCCACACTTTTCTTTCTTATTTATCCATTTAGCATTCTGTAATCCAGCACAGACCAAATTGATCTAATATTTCAATATAAGTCATTTTACAATGTTCAGGAACGAGGAGACATGGAAGGGCAACATTTATGGATGATCAAAATCTATTTGATGATATTTCATTGACTTTGTCGGCCACTTGTTAACATTCAGATACTAGTTTTTGAATATGATGCACAGATGCCATCATTCAACATTTAATGAGTAGAGTTGGAGGAAAGTTACCTGCAGTTCTGTAACTATTGCTTTAATACCTGTTACACAATCTCACCATGTGTCAGACAGATTTGAATCAGTAGTGTCTGCTCACATCTCTCTTCTCTCTTCATCATCTGCAGCCGTCAGTCTGAACAGATCACAGACAAGTATTCTGTGTGATCACCTCATGGTGCACTTATTGATATAAAGCACGGATGATCATATGAAGAAACGTGCCATGTCTTAAATATTCTCATGGTACTTCAGGCTCTAACTTCTTACCCTTATTTATCTCATTTCTATTTCCCCCCGCCCCCGCTGTCATGAAACTCGAAGTGAGTGCAACCGAGCCAGATAGATCTAGAGACTGAATGGAGCGATGCTGAGGGAGAGGAAACGTTAGCTCTCAGGAGTAAAGTGAGAAAAAAAGGTGAAATCAGGGAGACTCCCGCTCAAATCGGGAGTGTCGGCAGGTCTGCAGATGCTTTTTGAGACCACTAAGATATAAAATCAAAACCTCCAGAGTGGCTTAAATCCACCCGCAAGGTTGGCCAGGTGTTAATGTCAAGCCCTGGTGACAAACTATTTCTAACATCTCAGAACATTGCTGGTTTGAAGGATTAGTGTTTTCTATAAAAGTTTCCTACAGTCATGGAAAGAATACAAATATGTTATATGAAATATACTCTGTCATGGTTTGATTTGAAAGGTCAACATTTTCCTGCAGTAAACTCAAACACTCTTGATGAGAGTTTGGACCGAGGTGATCTGAAGTGTTTCATCATCGTCATGCACATTGTGATTCTCTTTTCTATTGTTTTGTAATATTTTATCTGTTTTTTTCTACTATGTTCGGCCGTGTTTAGTATCCCACATCCTGCGTCCTGATTGACCTTCTCTCCCTCTACACTAACGACGTCTTGGTTGGTTCAGCAGCAGGATTCATGTTTTTACTGGTTTGTGTCAGTCAGGAGATTATTAAGTTTTTTTTGTTTGATGAAAACTATTTGATTGACAGCTCATGGAAATTAGTTCAACATAATTTTATTTCCGATATCCTGACTTTGCTTCACGTGGGGTTTATACAGCTCTGGAAAAAATGAAGAGACAGAAGGTCTGGGGTTCGATCCCCAGCTCTTGTAGCCACATGTCGATGTATCCTTCGGTAAGATATTTGCGCCCCAAGTTGCCCACTGATCCACCAGCACTTTGTGAATGTGTATGAATGGATGAGTTAATACTAGCAAAGCAGCCTCTACCATCAGGGTGTGAATGTGAAGGGGTGACCTTTGAGAAGTCAGAAGACTAGAAAACAAATATAAAAGCTCAAGTCTGTTTTCGACTGCAAAAATATGTTTTTCTTTACTGTAAACAGGTTTGAGTTTAAAGGAGCACTATGTAACTCTGACCCCTAGTGTTTAAAATGGGTACTGCAGTCCAAATTCTAAACATTGAAGAGAGCTGTCTCCCCCCGCCCCCTCCTCTCGATGCTCACGCAGGTTGCCATGTGGTGGACACTGAAGCTTCAGCGTTTAGCCAGCTCTGCATGAGTCTGTAAACCTTTCTGTGTTCTAACCTCTCTCCATTTTTCAAAAGCATCTCCAACATTGATCCTAGTTTGAGCACGTTTCTGCTGAGCTCCTGCAGGGTTCACAGCTCTGCAGTCTTCCACTTGGCTGATGAGGTGGCATCATGTATTTCTGGTGCAAAACTTGAAGCAAGCACGGCTTTGTTGTTGGTCGGCTTGTCGGGTGATACTTAATCTTTACCTCATAGGCAGAATGAGTCGTACCTGTGTGGATATACACTGACACAGATTCACTTCTCTGCATGTTGGGATGAAAATTTAAGGAATATTCGGAGTGGTCTCTTCATTTTTTCCAGAGCTGTAAACTGCACAGTGTGCCACTGATTTCCTGAGCAGGACTCAACAAAGAACCCATCGTAATGACTTCTTTTGACTTTTTATGAAGTTTCTGCTGTGAACATATTGGCTTTGCCACCTCTCGCCCAGGATGTGAAATCTACATCCAGGTTGTGAGCAGTGACGAGCTGCTCAAGTGGAGACTGACTGTGAATAACGTGGTCACACTGACGAGTCTCAGATGATCCAGATTGTTGTAGTCCCAGACCACACCCAGCTTTCTCCCCTTCCTGTCCGTCTCCTGATCTCTTTCTTACTTTGCTGTCTTCTTTGGATTAATGGAAGTTTGTGATTCATCGTTCGGTGTGGAAACAAGTCGATAAGTGAACCGGGAGACAAAATAAAGCACATGGTTGTATATTTTTTGAATGAATAAAAAGACAAATGATTTAAAAAATGCATTTTCCTTTGTATGCTTTGATTACTTTTAGAAACACGTTTAATCCTGATGCACTCTCTTTAGTAGAAACAAACTTCAAGTTCAGACCAGAGGGACTTCAGAGAGACTTCCCCCCTGATGGAGTCCAGACCCTGGTGGTGGTGGTGAAACCCCCTGATGGAGTCCAGACCCTGGTGGTGGTGGTGATACCCCCTGATGGATTCCAGACCCTGGTGGTGGTGGTGATACCCCCTGATGGAGTCTAGACCCTGGTGGTGGCGGTGATGGGAGGATGCAGGACGTGATGTCTCGAGGTAACACTTGTAATGAGTTGACGCTCTACAAATAAAATTGATTGACGAGGACTGGACTTTGGAGGAGCCAAACATGGACCCTGATGAGATGAAATGGAGGTGACTGATTGGAGGAGAGTTACAGCGATCACTCTGCAACGTCAAACTGACAGGAAAGAGAGGAGAACAGATTTAAAATGTAACAGCACCCGGATGATTGGTCGATAGAGGTCGTGGCAGATTCTGGTTGGTCTAGTTCTAAAAAAAAAAAGATGGAAGACAGAGGGAGTGACATGACTGAACGATGACTTCTCGTCTGAAAGAGGAAACCTGCCAGATTCTCATTCACGTATTGTGAAAAGGTATTTTGTCTTTGCTGAAAAAACTCCTCCTTTCTCTTTTCCCTTTTCTTATCCAGTGTCTTAACTGGCATAATGACAAAATGAATCCCCCTGAAAAAGAGCCTGAAAAGTTTTTTAATTGGCGCCGCAGCAGGATTCAATGTGTAATAATTGGCTTGAAGTGCTTCATTAACGGCCAGCGAGGGAATCCTTAATGTGCCCTGTTGGTGAAGCTAATCCCTGGAGGTCCAATAAGGGACATAAATAAATCAGCATTAAGTCGTTTGTAAACCTCTTCCACTTATTCACTTGGCCTCTTCTACAGGAGTGTTACTTTAAGCCCAGTAGCTTAACATGGAGATATGCAGCTTTTGTTTGGAGTGTTATAACCCTGAAGAATGGCCGTGTCAGCTCTGCATGTTCCTTTGTTTCATATTTAGATCTCCTGCGTGAAGAAACAGGGTGGTGTCACTGATCAAATTATAAACACCGCCCTCGCTGCTGCTGCCTATTTATTCAGGGAGTAATGAGAGAGGATGATGCTCTTACTCTCTTTGAGAAACAGTGACGACAACCAGCCTGGAAATCTGAATTATTCATTCAAACTTCTGTCTGTGAGTGAAAACATTTGAAAAAGCTTCCCCGGGCAGCCTGTAAATATCTCTGTATCCACAGTGCAGTCTGACAGATCCACAGCTCCTTTGTCACTCGGACACGTTCACAATCGCTCACCATTCTTAACACAGTGACCACAAAGCATGTCTACCATGACTTCTGACTTCAAGTGTGGCTCCTTCATCACCATCTGAAAGTAACAATCCAATAACACGCAGCTTTCAAATGTCAGAGCATATTTCGCTGCTCTGGTTTGTTTTAATTAAACGTCCAGCTGTTTCTCTGTGAAACATAATTTTACTCTACTTAAAAGGTCTACCTCAGTAGAGATCGTTTATGTAATGACGTCAGACACTTCCATGAACAAAGCTGATTCAGTGACAAAAACAAAGTGTAGCTTTCATACATCTCCTGATGCAGATCTAAAGTGGTGTTTTGTGGAGTCGTGGGTGTTTTGGATCTTAAATCGCACGACCCAAGCAAGGTTGATGGAGCTGGCTCTACTGACCCGTTGGTTCCCCTTCTCATTCAGATCCATCATGAGGCTTACTCAGCTGCTTCCACGTTGTTGATGATGCCTTCTCTCCTGGTATCCAAAAGGCCTTGCTCAGGAAATGGCTGGAAAAACTCCTGCAGTCCACCTTGACTGGCATGCAGCTTAACCTCCAGCCGTTCCTGCAGCAGTCCTCCACCAGATCCTGGTCCTTGGTCCTGTTCCTCTCGTGTACCTCCTCAATCCTCTCTTCCCAGGGCACGGTGAGCTCAAGAAGAATGAGCTGTTCAGAAACCATGATGATGTGGGCTGTTAGACTGGGTGATCTGTGATAGGAGTCTTAGGTCAGTCTTTCTAGGTCACCTGTCATCTCACAGTCTGGTGTGAAGACATGCAGAGCTGTTTTTGGATCTTTTCTTCCGCCTTGACAAACTCGATCATTTTGGCCGGAGAGCTGGCCTGTCTGCTGAATGTTTCAGCGTTTGGTTTTGAGGACCTGGTCGTAGTGTTGTGATGTTAGAATGGAGTCGCTCGGGAGCAGTGATGTGGTTGAGGTTCAGGACAGAAAACGCTTTTTGTATCCACACTCCCTCCTGCACGTCTAGAGAGAGAGAGAGAGAGAGAGGGTGCAGAGGTCAAGCTACAGACCGAATGTAGAGAGGGAGCGACAACAAATAACCTGAATGAATCAGAGAAATAAAACTCTTTGAGTCTGTTTAGTTTAATTTAATTTAATTTATCAGATTATATTTTATGATACACAGCTGAAACAAACACAGGCTCATATCTGCACATAGAAGAGTTTTCTGAATGCATCTCTTCCTCGTTTCTCTCTTTCCCCGATGATGTACAAGAGAGACAAGGTTTAAAAAATACCAAACTGCCCTTAAAGGCTTATTTGAGATGAGGGTCCTTCTCTTTGTTATAATTTCATTTACCAGACGATACTTATTTATATACATTAAGATTCATAAAGCCTGACACATGAACATGGAGCTCCATCTTTTAATGTTGTTTACCAGCCTGTTATCGCCCCCTACTGTCTGGTTGCTGGTATTACCACAACAGAAGACCATGACTAAACCCTTAAGACCAGTGTATGACACTAAGCATTTGTATTTTCTTTTGAAATAAACTGTCTAGTAGAGACTGACACAGTAGTTTTCTACATCAGTAAAAACATTAAATCATATTTTTACATGCAATTCTGTATTTAATGACGACCCGGTTACATCTGTTATGTAAGATAGATAAAGATAAAGTAAAGACAAACAGCGCCATCTACTGGCTGAACACATTTCACCGTCATATCTGAGTCATAAACATTTGGGTTGCCAGGTCAGAATACGATCCAAAGTCATAGTATGCACTATGACTAGTATGGAATATAAGGCAAGGAGAGAGACAGAGAGAGAGAGGGAATGGGAACATTCAGAAAGGGAGTAAAGTAGACAAAGAAGGCACTTGTAGAGAATATCTTTAAAAAACAAAAACAAAAAGGCATATATATCAGAGTGATTAAAATCAGGCACTTTTATTAACAGTAAACTGCACAGTGTCAACATGCTCATAAAAGATGATGTTAAAATAAACGAGCCTTTCATGAAAATAACACAAAATCTTCTAGTGATGAAAATCAGTTTTCATCCTCAGGGTGGTCCGGGGAGGTCATCAGCCTCGATCACAGGGGGAGAAGGCCCCCTCCTCCCCCTGTGATCTTCACCAAACCCCCATTGCTGATGGAGAAGACGTAGAGGAAGGTGGGCGCCGCTTCAGGAACAAAGGTGTGCTTCACCTACAGGAGCAAATAGAAGTTTAATGTAACTGTATGATGACACTAAACATGATCGCATTACGCTGCTTTTCACCTCTTTTTTTATTATTATTGTCTCAGAATGTCCCTCCTTGTATTACTTTGCTG